TGGTGTTCTGTATGTGGTGTTCTGAGCTGCCAACTAAAGGGATGAGTGCAGATGTAGAACCCGTGCAGAGGACTTGACTCAATCTTGTTAGATTTATTTACCTGGATTATTGAGCAACATCAGAATATTACTCTGCAGGAGGAAACTAATAGCAGAAATTCTTTAATAAATTTGGTTACAGCATTGTCTGACAAATATCTACTATCATGAAATTCACTTTCAAAGGCTGTGTTGTCAATCAATGGAAGGTCAAAAGTTATTAAAATATAGTCAGAACAAGACTGTGAAATGGGACCCTTGCTGGCAAAATGAGTCAGTGAAGAATTGTATTTTTTTATTTAATATTTTCAAATTCTATCCACTAGATAGTTTAAGTGCTGGTTTGAAAATTCAATTTTTATTGGTCTGGAGTGATGTCATCGGGAATCCCAGCCCTAATATTTAAAATGGCAAATCCCAAAACTTCACAAAAGATGCCAGACATTATACGAAGAGAACCTCCAGGACTAAGGCAGTCAGCAGAAGAAAAATGGTCAGTTTCAAAGAAATCCTTTTGGAAAACTTTGATTTAAAAGTAGATTAGCAAGATTATATGTTTTAGTTCCTAGGATCAGTAGATAGTGTCTTTATGGACTGTTATACACAAATCTCAATTACAGCTAAATATATATATTTTCAGAGTTTTTGCATAGCAGCCATAGCCTTAACCTTGGGACTACTAATCTAAAAGACAAGGCTGTCATCAGAGATCCAAGATCGATTTCTAAATGGTAAAAATGACAATAGTTGCAAATGGTAGCAAACGATGTTACGCGCCGAGTACCTTTCAGACTACCACTCTAGAGACAAACAATTGGACCTCCAAAGATACAAGTAGGTACTTTATTTTCTGAGCTTACTTGTGAATTTGAGAGTTTCTGATTCTTATTACAGTAAAGTTATTAAATGAGACAACTATTGATATCCTTATATTTAAACCCAGGAAGGGAGCTCATTAACTTTTTGTATGGCTAATGCCCCTTTTCAGCTTGTTGGTGTTGGGTTTGTCTAGCTGACCCTGGGTGGATCAAATTCTGAATGACTAATCTTTATAAATTATTTAAGTTTGATATATATATACCCTTAACAAAAAGTAGTACATTTGAAGTTTATTTTTGCAAGTATACTTAAAGTTAGTTATAAGTATATCAAATATACTACACACCATACTTGTAGTGTACTAGAAGTATACTGATTTAATACTTGTTTGGACTAAATTGGGACATTTTTATACTATTTTTAAGTATATCAAATAAAGTTTATAATAAGTAAACTTCAAGT